AGAAAGCGCTTTCTATCGAGCTGCCGACTTTGAGCAGAACTCTTCCAATGAGATATTCTCGATGCTGTGGAACACTCAAAGAAAACTCGTTTTATGGCAGTTCCCCACGCAAGGTTAGTTGAATTTGTGATGTACTGGATATATACGAAAAATGGGATATTTTTCGGAAAAAGAAGAAAGAAAAAAGAGAGAGAAAGAAGAAAGAAAGATAAAACACTAGGACTCTCAGCCTAATTCGAGTGCATGGCGCACTCCGTTTAGAGGGTGCCTACTAGAAACCAAGGTGGAGGTGGTCAGTGATACTCGAAGAAAAAGCTGTCTAGAATTCGTGAAATGGGTTCTTCTTTGCCTTAATTTCCGCATTGGCAGCTCTTATCGGTCTGCCCCTTCAACGCTGATGTACCTTCTGCTAAACGGTAGAGCCAGGCGGCGAGGGAGTGGGCGTGCCGGGGCGGGAACGGTGCCGGTAGACCCTGATAGGCCGCTAGGACCATACTCTTTGTAGCAAAACGCGTATCGTTCTACACCTTTTAGGGGCTCGCCTTCTTCACTAGGTATATTTCCCTACTTCGACCTTTGACCTTATCGTGGAAGCCCCATTCAAGCGTATAATCTTGCTGCAGATCGAATATTGTCGATAAATTTTTGGAGTTCTATTCCGTTCACAAGTCTGCCATCAAAAGCGGTCGTGCAGAGCCTAGCGGGCTGAGGGTTCAGTGTTATTGGATCCTGTCCCACAGGCAATGTGATGATGATGTTGATATGGTAACTGAAGCGGTTTCACCACTTCTGCTAATTGTTTGAACAATTTCAGGCTAACTAGAATTTTTGTAAAAATAGAAGAGATTCAGGTTCAGAGCCCTTGAAGAACTAATGCATGTTCAAAGCCTTTCCTTCAGTCTCGTCTATGTAGGGCTCTTATTGCATGGAGAGCTCAATGCAACTTTGAAAGCAATATAATAATATGGTTTTATGGTTGAGATCAAAAATTTAAATTTTTAGTTCTCCAGTTCTTCTTCGACTACTATGGTGGAGTATTGTCCTATGCGATCCAAGTCTTTCCAATCTTCATTTTTGGAACATACAACGATCTCGATCAAGCCTCATTGGGCGAAAAGATTAGCAACGTTGGTAACAACCCTATATTTCAAATTATTTTTTGGCTATCGTTGCAGAAAGGTATCGCAAAAATGCCGAGATGTAGGCAAAACTTTCGCCCCAGCCGGGATTCGTACCCGGATCTCTTGCTTTCCGGGCAATTGTGCTACCAGTTACACCACCGGGGCACCATTTCACCCCAACTCAGCTTCGATGGTGAAGTTACCATAGCTTATCAGCATTCACACGTATAACGTGATGAACCGGTTAGCCGATATCGGCAGTCAACCGCAAGGCTGAAAGCTTTACTGGATGTTACCATTTTTGTTTGTTTTGCCCAGTTTATTGCTGTTGCCCACTTTTTGCCCTCGATGCGAGCATCTCTTTTGATAACTTTCGCCACCGGCTGCGGCGTAAAACAGGCCTTATCCAATTAAAATCATTTGCCCAAAAAGCAGTCGCAACGCTAGCTTCTTCATGATTAATATCTTTCTTTTGTTTATACACTATTGTCGCATAGACATTGTGGTGAGAGCTGGGAGAGAGAACATTGAAGCGATACATTGCCTGTGCTCGCGCGCCATGCCACCACGACTCCTAATTAGGAATCGTTAATGCATTAGGAAAGAATAAAAGAATTGAATTAGGAGAAAAGAAAGAAAACCAAACTCATGATGAACTAACATTAGAAGTTTTGGTTGGAAGGAATCAAGAAGAGTAAATTCCCGGGTTGTTTTCATCTTTCCAGATAGGCCTGGTAGCCCCTACTCGAAGGACTAGTTTAGTATTTGATTAGTCAGAGCAGAATTTGATCCGCATACAAATCGTACCTGTGGTAGTGCGCCCTCTTGATTTCTAAACCTCTTCAAAGCGTAACGTCAAAAATACAGTACACTAAGGCGTGTATAATTTCCCGTATACTCACCGGTATTGTAGGCCTCCCGTTGTCCTTTTTCGGTTAGGGTAAGCCTTCCTTGCCCTCTCAGTAGGTAAGCCTACCATATCCTTTTGATTCCATATTTTCAAATTAGACTGTGTGCAGCCAGCAAATATCGTCATGACATAGATTATCTGTTTTGTGCAACAGAACCTCGAGAAGTTTACCGGAAACTATTCTGCAGTTTTCAGAACGCCTTTTACTACATCTATTTGATTAACAGCTTTACACGCCTCACCGATTTAGCCTAAATATTGGAGAACTCGGTGGATACGTTCTGAGGTCAGTTGAAATTCAGGTACTCTTTTCAGTTCGTCTGAATTTTATCCAAAATTTTTTAGAGTGTCCGAAATCGTGCGATGTTCTCAACGTGAACAGGGCATTGTCAATTTGCATGCGTTCGCCACTGACGTGGTCGACGATAGCGATGGACGGGCGGATCTGGCGTTCAGCATTCGCCATTTGTCCTTCAGTAAGCCTTACGATGACGAGGAAGAGCTGGTTTCAGGTGAACTCCTAGATTTTTTTTTTTACCTTTTCCTGTTTCTTTTTTTCGAAGTTCCAAAGCCAGCACACGATCAATCGGTTACGTTTCCAGACTTGACCGTTGACATTCCTTTGGAAAGCAGCCTAATTGTGACCGGACCAAGTGGTGCAGGGAAATCATCTCTGCTTCGGGTGCTTGCAGAACTGTGGCCAAATAAATCAGGTTTCCATGTTCTCCATCTGAATATGTATCGACCTTATTGAATTTTGCTTTTTTCCAGGTAGTGTACTACGGTATTTACCAAGAAGAGACTATCTGTATCTGCCACAGCGGCCATATCTGCCTGTAGGACGTTTATCATTGCGACAACAAATTTGCTTCCCGAACATCCTTCGTGACATGTTTGACGACGAAAAAGAAGCAGGTCAGACTACCCAACATTTGAATCAAATATAAGTAATAAAATTCTAAAACATCAGCTTCTTATAAGGCATACTGCCACTAGTTCGAAAGGTAGGTGCTACGATAGTTGGATTCTGATGACGTAAGCGTGCATTTGCTCACTGTCAAGCGGAGAAGGTATGGCTTTCGTGGAAACTGTTCATGCGTTCCCGCGGGGAATCGCGAACTAGTCGTAGTGCCTGACAAAGCTTCAGCCACGCAGTGCACAGCCGCCATCACTACCCCCCCCCCTCTAGGTGCCTAGGCAGTGGTTGCGCTAGGGTGGTTCCCATCTGTGGATGAATTAGCTACAAGATGGACAGAGTTTACATTCACATTTCTAGGTTCAGCATAATTTTAATTTTCGGACACGCGCGAAATCAGGTGGCAGTTCATTTTTTCCGTCACAAGCGCCTACATAACATATTATTCACGTAAAACTGTTTTTTATTTAGCAGCGATGAATACCGTGCCGTAGGTCAATTAGTGCGTCTTACGTGCGAACTGCTGCCCTTCGGCTAAGCCGGGATCGAACGAGGTAGAACATACGTTCAGGAGAAATGCAGGATTCTCTCATACGGAGCAAGGATAGGGTGTGGGTCAGGAGGTAAGGATGGCAGCTGTGTGCCGATAACCGTTTCCCAAATGGTGTTTTGCGAGTCCCACGCGCGCAATTTCTTGTACTGACGCGAAATGCGCTCGCAGAGATGGATTTGTCCGCTACTTATAACCTCTTGAGATGGAGAACGGAGGGCGTCTCCTCGATATCATAAGCCGATTTTTTTGGAAGCCTCCTTACTTGTAGGCGGATTCATTCTCACATGTTTCCAAACCTTGGGAATATATCCCTACTTGGGGCAGTCCTGGCCTTAAAACAAATGGTTTCGCCAGATTTTTTCTCCCCCCCCCCCCTCTCTCCGTTGGGAACGACATGACCTTGTTCTACTAGTCTCCTCAGGGTGAAATATAGCCCTAGTTCCGAAAGTATGACGTTGTTGAGTATGGCCCTTGTCAATGATCAATAGCAATATTTTCAGAGAACGCTAGAATCATGAAAATCCTTCACGAGTTACACTTGACTGCACTTATCGAAAATTGTGGCGGTTTGGATAGCGAAGTGGATTTTGAGTGGTAAGTGAATTCTAAATTGGAGAAAACCCGTGATTGTTATGCTGAGAGAGTTTAAATGGTGCGAAGACCTGTAATTTCAGGCAAGATACTCTGTCTCCCGGTGAACAGCAACGCCTTTCCCTGGCCAGGGTAATTCTTCATCGACCAAGAGTGGCAATTTTGGACGAAGCTACAAGCAGCATTGACGCGAATGACGAAAAAGACATATACAATTTACTTCAAAAGGTACCACCTTACGTTTAATCTTCAAGGATGCATATTTATTTTCCTCGTCAAAAAACGAAACAATAGCCATTGTGCAAAATGCTTTTGTTGAAGCCCTTTCCGAAGTCATGGATGGTTTGAGACGTCTAGAATCGCCCTCTTTCTTGGGGATTCGTTTCCTTAGAAGAGCTGTCTTCTTCCACATGCCTGGGGAATTCAGGGTAAACTGTCTCTTCGCACTACTCAAATGAAGGGGTCACATTGTGGGAAAGGGGAGGGTCGTATTCGGGTTGAGTAAGAAAGCGAAGGTTATTTCTGAGTTTCAAAGGGTAGTGATTGTGGAGAAGGGGGTTTGTTTTCGACGGGTTCTGTTTTCACAATTATGGCGAAAGCTTTACGGCAGTAGCATAAAATAGACAAATTTGGTGGATTTTTCCACTTTATTTTGTCAAATCGTGCCTCCCCCCATTCCTCCCCCCCCTCCCCCTCCCTGTGGGCCATGTTTGGGAGCCTCCCAAGACTGATGGTGGGGGTGGTGGGATCGCATCTACGCACCCTTGAAGGGAGAAGGTCGCAAAGTTTCGTCGGTGAAAGTGGCGAACGCCATCAGTTTCGACGGCTGGAAGTAATCCTTCGCCTCCAGATTTTGGTCTTAATTATGTTATTACGATGAACTACTCAGGGACAAATTACTGAAAACCGTAAACAAGTTGATTTCTTGCTGTCCACTAAAATTGAATAACAGCCCTATTTTGAGAATGCTGAAAGCTTCTGTCAGTGACTTGACAAAGGGGCTACGTCGAGAAAAGTCAGGAAAAAAACAGCATCAAACCTTACCTGAATTTTTGTTTTATTTTGTTTAGTATAAACATTTCTAACTTCCCAGCATTTATTTGCCAGTTTTAGTATAAATGGTTTTCACAATTTCTTGAATAAAATATCTGTACTTCAGGAAAACATCTCTTACATCTCCACGGGTCATCGTGAAACGCTCCGCAATTACCATAATTTGGAACTGCAACTTGGTAGAAATTCCTCTGCAACTACGTATATGCGTCATGATTCAAATGCAGGACAACAAGAAGAAACTCAACACTCGGATCCTCATAGGCAAGATAAAACGTAAAACTAGACAGTATTCAGCAAAAACTACACAAAATAACAAACAGCACCACGGATCAAGCATACACAGATAGGTGCTAAAAACGAGAAAAAAGAAAAGCAATGTGTCAAAATGTCAAACGGCTATTATGTCCAAATATAATGTCAAGGAGCTATAATGTCAATTGCGTGTAAATGATGAGGTGATTAGTTATCACTGCAAATGATATGACGAGAATAAGCGTAATAACTTCGTATAGCATACATTATACCGTCGTCCCGGTGAGGTGAATTTGGGAGTGGCATGGGTGCCCTTCTTTGGGGTTCCATCTAAGAATAAACAAGATATTCATTGTCCGCATAATAGCTCTTTGACAAGGAAGAAAGTGTTACTATAAGAACCTTTAGTTTAGCGCCCAAGCCCAGCGCACCCTGCTGGAAGTTATGGAGAGAATAAAAAATTGCCCAAAATATAATAAAAGTACTACTACACTCCACCAGCTCCGTGGTAAAGCGGGTAGGCGCGATTTGAGCCTTAGCGCTCAAAGAAGACAACAAGAAAAATGAGTGTGAAAAACCTTTGCCTTTCGCTCTTGCGTCTGATTTTGGTCTTATCACCTTTACCCTCCTAAGGGATGAAAAATTGCACTAGTATGAGAGGTCCTTGATATATCAATTGAAAGGCGATGGGTAAAAGAACCACAAACCCATCAATCAAAAACCCCTTTAGGATGCACCAAACAATCGGTATCCGGGCGAAATCGTCAAGACATTTAATCAAACAGAACTTCACAAAGGTAAGAAGGAAAAGCAAATGAACAAGAAATATTTCACTTAACAAGGTCAAATAAAAGGACTAATGAACTAACCTCGTTGTTTTGTCACCATCTATCACTACTGTAGTGAGCGCAAGTACTTGGCTGTTAGGTGCCGCACGGAATAGAAGCACACCAAGGCGAAGACAAATGAAAGCATCAGCAGCGCAAGCCAACTGAAAGCAACTAATTCAATTAAATATTTTCGCCTATGTCAACCGTCCGCTGGAAGACTTTATGAAAGGAGTCGTGTTGTAGGAAATGCTATTGGACAAAAACATTCCTGTCTCCCTACCCGTCTCAAAAGAAGGGAAATAGGGAGGAATGTTAGGAAGGGGAGGTCGTTCTTATTGAGAAACTTGTAAAACGCAACATGCTCTCCACTAAATCCATTGCAATTATAGTATTACTTTACGTTTCACTCTTTAGGAAACCAGGCCCAATTCAATTTCAGAACAAAAATCCAGAATTTTTTGTTTATGACTATTGCGAGAACGAACAAAAGTGAACTTGCACACGAACATGGGGTCGAAATTGAATATTTGTTTTTCAAAGTATCCAGACTTCACAAAAAACTCACCGATAAGAAAAAGTACGTAATTATTAGAAGTACAGTGTATCGGAACGAATCGAAAAACCCAACTAGGCATATAAGGGTACCAAATGACAACAAAATGAAGAAGATGGCTGACATTATAAACACCTAAAACAGAAGAGATATTCGAAAGTAATTGAAAGTAAGGCAGAATGAGCGGAAGCAGTCGTGACTCACCCACAAAGTGCAAGGGACAAAAAGGTTGATACCACCGGGCAGTTGTAGCACCTAAAACACTGAGAGTGAAAGATGAATAAAACATTTACTAACCAGGAATCTACCATAAATATTGCAAAAACCACAGACATAAAATAGCTTTTAACGAAGGGGAACAAACCTTTCGGTTCCATCCCATAACGTGGAACAAATTATAGATGAGAGAGGTGATAAATAAGGCAAATGCACAACCGCTCACGAATCCAACACCTTCGAAGACGAAAGGCGCGAATGCGACCAGTAAAACGATGAACAAACTGAGCACCTGAAATCATCGTGATCGGTTTCCCTCGTGGGAAAGCTGCGAGTATTCGTTATGGGCTGATTTATACGCTCCTAAGCAATGATGAAACACTTGCATCAAAACTCACAGTTTGCATTGACATCATAAAACCAAACGGCTTTTTGTTCAAAAAAGACCAATCAGCATTCGTTTGTGCCGCCTCCATCTGGAACTACTCTGACTGATAACAGCAACTGAGGAGAATGTGGAGGTATAAGCTGACGATGAGCTATATAGCTATCGTTTAATTCCCTGACAACCGAGATGGGCGAGGCAGATCCTATCTAATACCACCTTAAGTAAACAGCTCAAATCAAGTAATCGAAATTATCAGAATCATAACTGCAACAAAAAAGTAGCGAGCAGCAACTTATAAACATCACAGAAGTACTGATCGTTTGAACGCTCAGATTCAAAACAGCAACACTTCTATACTGCACTTTTATTATCAACTTCACTTATTGATATCACTCAAATGAGAGGAGATAAATGAATCGCACGGTGTAAAAAAAAAACGAAATAAATTAATGGAGATTGCTGAAGTGCTTGGAAATGGGCCGAATTTGGGGGCGTGCACAACACCACAATGACTCATCATCCCAACATGACCAGTAGGTGGAGATGACGGAGATAAGAACTCCATTGGGAATATTTTTTTCATACAATTCCAATCAATACACAATTCGTAGAGATATATACAGACAAGCTCTATTATCACAACGCACGATCAATAACAATAAACAAACCGCGAATGACGTTACGTAAACAAAATTTCTACAGTACTGGCACGTGGTGGTACCTGTGGCATAAAACTCATGGTGGACAAAACCTTAGCGAGTGACTCGTCATGATAGTAGCAGAGAGCTCCATACGCAGTTTTTTTTACGTCTGCTTCATAATAAGATTTCGAGAATGGAATTAATTCTTTGGAGTCTTCACAAATGTTGTGGGTATCATGAATGTGGGTTTTTTTTTAAATCTTAAGGTAGATAGATAATAGAAGGGCACTACACAAAAGTTACCTCAGCTTTCCTCTTTGAGCGCTTTTTCCGAGATGACTAAGAGTCGTCGTGAAAAGGATAAAAAAGGAAAGGATAGTCTTTTCAGTCATCACTGTAGAACTCTTAACAAAGAGCCTTCGATTGCAACTTATCTAAGCCATAGTGATCAAACAGCTTGGGCTAAGATCGAAGTAGAAAAATCGCCATCAGAAAAAGGTCCCCGCAATGTACTTAGGTTTTTGTAAGTGCTAGTTTTGAAGTAGCTGCTGTACTTTACGTAAAGACAAGTGCAGAAGTAAACATGAAAATTGTTCTCTGTACCTGGTATCACGTGCAGTTTAACCCATGGAAAATCATGACTGTAGTGGAATTAATATTACTATTTCGAGCTAATACATTTCACAATTGCAATCAAACGTTCGAAGTAACAGAGATGCGGAAGTGTATGTTCCAGATGTACGCGATCCCCTCAACAAAATAGTGATCGATCAACCATGCTTCGTTTTAAAACATAAGCGAAAGTTCAAATTCGAGCTCGAAAGTCGAATATATATCGCATTTGATCTGTGAAGGGAGCTAAGCACTACAAGGCTCAAGTTACATCCCACACCTTTGTCGGTTAAGAACGAATGAGATAAATAAGTGAATAAACATCTGTCACAACAAAAAATATGAGTGATTCATGTCTGATAACGAAGAAACGGAGACGAGCCTA